AGTATAAACATGCTGATGACCCCTTTTATCTGCATTGTGATGATGTGGTAGAAAGCGTTGAGCACATACTAACAACTTGCATACGTTTTACATGTGCTAGAGAAGCATTAGAAAGATTAATGGGTAACCATATTACCTGTTATAGAGTCGTACAATACATGTTGTCCTCTAAAGATGCCTGGGAACAAGTTAATCATATAATTACTGCAATCATGCAACAATTGCGAAGAGATGAACAAGAACACCAAAGGAGAGTAAATGATAGTTGAGAAATAGAGCGTTAGTGCTCGCCCTGTCCTCGCGAAGTAATACCTAGTTGGCGGTCCCACTGGACATTTTCTAAAGGGCAGCGTTATTTATAGGGGTTAAGGATTAGTCCTTAAGCGTACTGTGTTGCAAGTTTGGCATATGCAAGAGCATCGTACCTGTGTAAACCCGGGAAAGGGTGGTAGCGAACAGTATGAATCGAGCATGCTTTTACAACATCTTTAGAAGATTCCACCTCTAATGGAAAAAAAAACACGCATTTGTGCTATGCGACTCACTCATAAAAATATGCACAATCCGATGTGCGAGAAAATTTTATACTCGCACCGCACAGTGCAAAACAAAATTCTCTTCGCACACCGAACTATGCGACAAAAAGTTCCAAATGAGAATCCTACAGGAAGGCTCTGCAGGAGCTTAAGTCCAAAAAATGATTAAATTTCTGCAATTGAACCTAAATCGATGTGAGGCTGCCCAAGACCTCTTATCCCAAACAGCTTTGGAATTAAAGACAGATGTACTCGTAATTAGTGAGTTTTACAAATTAGAAGAAACCTCTAAATGGGTACAAGATACTTCTGCAAAGGCAGCCATTTGGCTAGGACAGGACATAATGTTTAAACCAAGCGTATAGGTACAAAAGGTCTAGTATTTGCTTGAATCCGAGGTATATATGTGTGTAGCTGCTACATATCCCCAAATATTACCCAAGAGAGATTTGAAGAGTTTCTTGAAAGACTATCAGGAACAGTCAGAAATAAAACTCCCATCATTGTTGCAGGGGATTTCAATACTTGGGCAGTCGAATGGGGCAGTACTAATACAACGCGCCGAGGTAGAGCCCTATTAGAGACATTCACCTCACTAAACCTAACACAACTGAACAATGGGCATAGTCCAACGTTCGATAATGGTAGAGGCGTATCCTACATAGACCTCAACTTCATCAGCCCGTCATTAGTAAGGTGTTCGCAATGGAAAGTAACAAACCAATACACCCACAGCGACCACAATGCCATTTGCTTTTCCATATCGTTGAAAGAGAAGTTTGCTTTAAAAAAATCGCAGAGAAAAGCACAGCAAAAAGGTTGGAAAACTAAGTATCTCGACAAAGATGTAATGGAATTCATGACCGAAAACATGAGTTGCGGAGTTGGAGATACTACTGAAAAATCAAATCATCTTATGAAAGAACTATGCAACATCTGTGATGCATCAATGCCAAGAAAAGGCAGAATTAATGCGCGCGCATCAAACTATTGGCGGACGGAAGAAATAGCTTTACTAAGATCTCAATGCCTTGCCTCCAGTAGACAGTTCCAACGCCATAGATCTGGAGTAGATACGAAAAGGCTTCTAAAAAAATACCGAGAGAGCAGGTCTAAGCATAAAAAGGCAATTATTAGGAGTAAGAACCAAGATTTTCAAACCCTGATCAATTATGTAGACCAAAATGTTTGGGGCGATGGCTACAAAATAGTAATGCGTAAATTTAAGATGTTAAGAGGCTCGGTACCTTCGTGTCCTAAAATAATGGCAAATATCGTTAAATACTTGATTGAATAAAAATAAGAAAGCGAAGTTTACCATATGAGTATTCAGTCGATACTGATTTTATTTTAAAAAGTATGCTATACACATACAAAATAATCTTAAAACTAACTTAACTAATTTACAATATTTATTACCTGTTATAGCTTGTTTGAGTGGACAGTATTGCATTACAAAAAAAGGATACAATAAAATCCCGGCACGTAGGATTTTTATTATTTTACAAATATATTTTTATTATCGATACGGTGCCGTGTATCATAAAATGTATTTTAAAAAAGTGTTTAATATTCTACAATGTTACTATTTTAGTTTTGGGTTTTTTATTACCCGTGTTTTTTTCCTTCGGATATAATTCTAAGAATTTAAACTATAACAGGCTTGGAATAATAAACTATCAATTCAAGGACATCCTGCCAGCGTATTAAATATGCACAGTTGTGCATTATTTTAATTTTAATATAATTTTTTATGATTTTAAAGAGAAAACTGGCATTTGTCTTAAAATAACATGTTCATTACTGAACATATTGCCAGCGCCTTTATTAAGGCAGAATGGCTTAATATAAGATGAATATGAAATTGAATATTAGTAATTTGAATAATAAAACATGTTCATTATTGAACATGCTGCCAGCGCCTTAAGTAAGGCAGCATGACTTAATATAAGAGTATAATATAACATAAAAAGGCCTTTTCGGTAGCTCGCAAGTACGGCAAAAAACAGCAAGTTACTGGCCTATGCAGGCCTATACAGGCCGCAATGTACGCAAAACAACAACACTATTTTCTCTACCTCGGCCAGCATAGTTATGCTGGCCAACCACATCGGCCAGTAAAAAAAAAATGTTACCAACGCAATAAGCAAACTATTGTGAACCTTCATTGAAAATTCCAACGAATAGTGCAATCAAATGTCAAAAATTGAGGAAATAAAAATTCAAACAGAATTCAAAAATTTGAAAAATCTTGAAAAGTAACGAAAAAATAATAAGAATGTAGAAATCGTAAGTATTAAGCACATTGAATTTTTTTTTATATTAGTTATTACCAAATAACATTTATTTTATTTCATTTAATTTGTAGTTTACATGCGTAAAAAATTTTTTTATAGAAGTAAAACGTTGCTTTCTTCTCCCAACATCGACAGTACCTACAAAAATTTACTTATCTTAGTGTTTTATTTTTAAATTTCCAATATTCTTACCATTCCTTTTAATTCCTTGTTTATTTTAATTTTATAATATTTTTATAAAAATAAGATTTGCTGTTTGTCAAAACAAAACATTTGACAGATTGCAACAGTGATGCCAATGACTCGCGTGGCCAACATAGGCCAACATGCATTTTTTGCCGTACTTGCGAGCTACCGAAAAGGCCTAAAGTTGAATTCAATAATATAGTATATATAAGTTTTATAGGTATTTTCTTTTAACAAAACTTTTTTTTTTTTAGTATTTCAATTTTATAAAAAAATAATTGTAGGATTTTAACATGGTATATAGATTAAAAAAATTATATAAATTAACATGATTCATTATTTAATATTAATTAATTAAGATATAATATATAATAGATATATTAATAAACAAATATAGATTATGTTAATTGTTCATTTTTGAACAGTCTGCCGAGGGCCTTTAATAAAAATAGACAACAGTTTTCTTCTTATTTGCGCTGCTCGAGTTAGATAAATCACTATTACGATTATTGTGATTGTAGTTTATCCTAATGCCGTGTGCCCAGAAATGTGATGAAATTGTAAATCTTTTAGCTTTACTGTGTTACCCTTTATCTCATTTATTTTCTTATTTATTTGATTAATTTCTTCTTTGTTATTTATTTTCCAATGATGCCAAGGTTTTATATTACTATTATCAATCATAATTGCGTCTCTAATAACCGGCTTGAGCTCCTCTACTATCGCAGAGCTTTGCAGATTACTAGAGGATGTTAATGTTGTTCCTCTTATACGTGCCATACATCCTTCTGCTAGTGATAAAATGCCTTGACCTGATAAGTTTATTATATATTCCATTGAATTTGAACATCTAATGTGGGCAGATTCTTGTTTAAAAGTTTTGAATATCCAACTATTCTGTCGATATAATTTGACCCAAATGGAAGAATTATTTACTTCTTCGTAGTGACAATTATCTTGATTAGTTGGTTTTAGTGGCGAAATTTCGCAAGAGTTATCGTTTGCATCTGTCCAAGGAAAATTACCTTCACAAGTAAATTGTTGCTCCGCTATCTTGCTGCATTGACTCCATGTCAAAGGATCCATCAATTGATAAGCATTTATTTCCAGATTATAGAGAAGAAATGATGACATAACTTTCGGAATTATATATTTTGTGCCTTGGTTTATGGGTATTGGTATTATTTTATATATAGTAGATGACTGCTTGCTGAACAGTGGAAGTTTTGCGTTAATCACTAATTTATTTCCAATGAATAACCCCTTTGCCTTTAATTGCTTATATATGGATTCTAACTCCGTTCCAGTTTTTTTACCAGGTAGTACTAGATTTTCGGGAATTTTATCTCTTATTTTTATTATTTCGTGATGTAACTGTGATGGTTTTATAAGAGCTGGGTTCAGTTTTCCATGATTAATGTCCATCAAAAGTTCAATAACTTCAGATTGAATGTGAGAACATTCTTCTATCATATCTGATAACTGTTTTGCTACCATGAAAAAGTTTATAGATTCCCTATAGACCAGATAGGTTTCGTTCAAGGCAGTGTTAATGGATTCAACTCGTTTATGAATTTCATTGTATTGTAGCTGAATTTCTTCAGATGTGCGCTTTAATATATTTACTGTTGTTTCTACTACCGATGTTTGTCTTTCAGTCATCTGTTTTAAGTTGTGTTGATTCTCTAGTAGATTATTCATATCTTCTTCCAGCGCCTTTCGGTCATTTTCATCCATCATTCCGAATAGAAGGTGATAAAATGAACCAATAAATGCCAATGGTGCTCTCTTTCTTCTTTCTTTCACCGACCATATAAATAATTTATTATTATCTTTTATGTCTGATAATTTTCTAGACGTTGTATTCAATATATTCTTACATTGGTCAGCAAAATTTTGTAATTTGGGACAAATTTTATTAGCTTTGTTAAGTACATCCTCTGCGTTTTTAACCATATTAAAGTATGGTTGCATATCATAATACGTTATTAAATTCCATGTTGATATTTCTGAGCTGACTTCTCCCATCATGTCCAAATATAACGTTGTTTTATTATTTAGTTCATGTACTGACGCAACTGATGATTTTACTGCTGCTTTCACTGTTGGTAAGACACATAACATTAGAAAATACAAGGTGGTCCATGCTAATTTTGAAGTTTTCAATTTTACATTTGATTTTATGTTTAAATTGCAATGAGCTTCTTCTGCATTCGCTTGCTGTTGGTCATAGATCGTGTCAGAATCCATCAAAATGCAAAGTTTATGAATTGGTCTTTTTAATTTTCCATTTTTTGTTTTAAGCTCTACAACTCGTACATTTCCATCTTTGCCTTTATATACTTCTGTTATTTTTCCTAGTGGCCATCTAGTAGGTGCGGTATTTTCATCTTTAATGATTACTACTTGTCCCTCTGCTAGGTTTGGTTTTTCTCTAAACCATTTGTTTCGTTTTTGAAGAGAAGTGACATATTCCTCCTTCCATTTTTTCCAAAAATTTGTTTTAATTTTTTGTAAAAGTTTCCAAAGGTCTACTAAACTTATATTATTTTTAACTTCAGCTTCTGGTTCATCTAATATTGGACGACCTATTAAAAAATGTCCAGGTGTAAGAACATCAATGCTGTCAATTTCGCTACTTATATAGCAGAGCGGTCGAGAATTGAGTACTGCTTCAATTTGATTTAGAAGTGCAGTCATCTCTTCAAATGTTAATTTTGTTTCACCTATTACACGCTTCAAATGATACTTTGTTGATTTTACAGCAGCTTCCCATATACCGCCGAAATGCGGACTTGCCGGTGGAATAAAATGCCATTTAATTTTTTCTGCTGCAAGAATTGGTACCATCGAAGTATTATTTTTGATCGCATTTCCAAACTCTTTATCTAATTTTTTTAATGCGCCAATAAAATTAGTGCCATTATCTGAATACAAATGTGCACTCTTTCCGCGTCTTGAAAAAAATCTTTTTAGTGCAGCTACAAATGCTTCTGATGATAAATCGCTTACTGCTTCTAAATGAATTGCTTTTGTGGACATGCATACAAATACTGCGATGTATCCTTTAAACGATTTTTGACCTCGACCTTTAGAACACCTCATATTTATGGGTCCTGCGTAATCGATACCCGTGTATTCGAATGGGTGAGATATATTTATTCTGCAACTAGGTATATACCCCATTATTTGTTTAGCAAAATTTTTATTGAATCGAATGCATCTTGTACACCTTTGGCATATCTTTTTTATGGTTTTCCTCATCCCTAATATTCAAAAATGACGTTTTAAATGAGCTTCCAACAAGGACTGCCCACCATGTAGTGTTGATTGACGTGTTTGATATATAATTAATTCAGAATATCGATCTTTAGCGAGAATTTTTGGATGTGTTTGATTATATGTAATGTTGGCGTTTTGTAGTCTTCCTCCTACCCTTAATATTCCGTTTTTATCTATAAATGGTCGTAATTGAATTAGTTTGCTATTTACATTTATTTCTTTCCCCTTTTTAATGTTGGATATTTCGAAAGAAAAATGTGTAAGCTGGTGTAGACGCGATATTTCATTTCTTGCTTTATCTAGTTCTTCTTTCGATAAATAATTCGAATTTTTTGATTTATTTTTCAAACAGTTAATAAATCGTAAAACATATGCTACCGTTCTTTCTAGTTTCGATATTTTTGATATTTTCTGTATTAAATTGTTAAATATATTATTATCTGGAATTAAAGTCGTGATAACTGTTGACATTCCATTTAATTTTTCATCATTTGGCCATTCTTCCATTGGTTTTACTAACCATGCAGGCCCATGCCACCATAGCATGTAATCTTTTAATTTGTTTGCGCAAATGCCTCTAGATGCTACATCAGCTGGATTATCTTTTGTTCTTATATGACGCCATTCAGTTGCTGGAATTAAATTTTTAATTTCTGTTGCTCGAGTTCTTACAAATTTTTCTTTGTTTCTCGGTTCTTTTAGCCACCGTAACGTGATTGCAGAATCGCACCAACAATAAGTTTTTGAATTTGTATTTAAAATTTTAATTATTTTATTCATTAGTTTTGCTAATAAATGTGCTCCACATAGTTCTAGCTTGGGAATAGTTTTCTTGGTTTTTATTGGCGCAACTTTGCATTTTGCAGCCAAAAGGTTTACATTTGAACCGATTTTGATGTATATTGCAGCTGCATAAGCTGCTTCAGATGCATCCGAGAATCCATGTAACTCCCAATTTTTTAAACTCGAGACTCCCATCCATCTTGGAATTCGAATTTGTTCCACTGTTTGTATATTTTTATTATATTTTTCAAATTCTTCCCGAATTTGTTCGTTTAAGTTCTCATCCCAATCATAATTTAATTGCCTAAGTTTTTGAATAAATAATTTTGCTGTAATTGTTATTGGTGTTAACCAACCTAATGGGTCAAAAATTTTTGCATATGTTGATACCATTCTTTTAGTTATTGTCTCATTTGACAATATATTTATTGAAAATTGGAATTCATCCTTTATTGGATTCCATTTCAATCCTAATGTTTTTATTGAATTATCTTCCTCTATGTATAATATTTTGTTTTCAGCTTCAATAGGAAGATTTTTCAAGATTGATTGATTATTGGTCATCCATTTCCGTAATTTAAATCCAGCACTGTTTAAACATTTAAAAATTGTATTGATTTTATTTTTACAATCTAATTTTGTATCAGCGCCAGTAATTAGATCATCCATATAAAAATCATCTTTAATCGTATTTTTAATGGAAATGTCTCCATTATAGTTTTCAGCAATTTGTTGTAGTGTGCAAACTGCCAAAAACGGAGCCGATGCAGTTCCATAAGTGACTGTGGTTAGCTTAAATTCCTGAATTGAGTCTGTTGGTTTTTCTCTCCAAAGTATGCGTTGATAATCTTGGTGCTCTTCTGCAATTTTTATTTGTCTAAACATTTTTTCCACATCTGCTGTCACCACGAATTTCCATAATCTCCATTTTATTATTATGTCAAATATATCTCTTTGTAATCGCGGTCCGGTCATCATAATATTGTTAACAGCCTGATGTGGCATATAGTACAACCCTTCATTATGATTTTCTGCTTTGATTATATGACCTAAACGTTCGTATTCTCTCATAAATTCTATATATTCTGACTTAACTTCTTTCTTTATTTTCTTCTCCAGGTTGATTAGTCTGGCTACTGCTTTTTTTCTGGAATTCCCTAAGAATAATTCTTCTTTAAATGGAATTTGTACAATGTATCTTCCGTCTGAATCTTTTGTTGTAGTTGTTTTATATAGTTCTTGACATTTTTCATCTTCTTGTAGGTTTGTTTTGTTTTCATCTTCTATTTCCCAAAATCGTTCTAAATTCAAGGCTGATATTGCTTGATTTTGTGTTTTGTTTGTTTGTAGCTGTCCGGATATTATCCACCCGAATATTGTTTCTTGCCCAACTATATCGTCAAATTTCTTAACCCCTTCTTTTATTATTTTAGGATATACATCACTACCTATTATCATATCTAAGCGATCTTTTTTGTTGAATTCAGGATCTGCTAATTTGTAATTTTCCCAGATCGTGGTATCAAACTTTAACGTTTGTTCTGGCAATGGTTTAATTAATTGTGGCATTACTAAGAATTCGCCTTTTACTATCATTTTATCGTTAAATCTTGATGTCATCTCCAAAATAACTTTGGAATTAGAGGTGCCAACAGCTACATTTGACAGTCCTGATAATTGTGTTTTATTTTTAATTTCCTTTAATGATTGTACTTTTATTATAATGAAGTACACAGTTTGAGTATATTTTAGCTACTGATTTTATTTCAAATAATGTTGTGTTTTTATACAAAAATATTTTAAGACTAATTTCTACATCAAGGTTAAAATATTATGATTTTAATGGACTGTATTTGTCAAAAAAGGTTAAAAAAGGTTAAAAAAGGACGGAAGTCCCAACACTTGGGATTTTCCTCCTATTGTTTTTATGAATATATTTCATTTTAATAATTTAAATACGGTTGCTAAAAAATGTTACTATTTATCTATATTTTTCCTTAGTACATAATTCTAAGAATTTAGGTGATAATGGATTTATAAACTATAATAATTAAATATATGGTATAAATTCATGTTCATGATTGAACATTCTGCCGGAGGTCAAAACTCATGTTCGTGATTGAACATTCTGCCGGGGGCCATAATAAAACTTTAGTCATAATTATTTAATATGATTATGTTGTAGTAGTCGCCTCCTTCATGTCTGACGCCGTCATCATATATATATGAGGAATTTTTCCTTCCATTTTTCCCAAAGCTTCCAATACTTATGCTTGAGAATTACTTCGAACTGCCACTGAACTGGAACTGCATATAATTCTGTAAAGATATTATATAATGTTTGTGCCGTACAAAATCCTCCGTAGTGAGGAGTTCCGGGGCCAAAAAGCAGATATAAAAAGTAATTTGTGTTGAACAAAATTTTAAGATTCATTATTTGTAAATTTGTTTTTGAAGTTATTAAATTATTATTTAATTCAAATTTGCCTTCATGGTTATTGGTATCCCCTGATATACCTAGAAGTTCATCTTCTTCGGATTCCTTTTCGTTGTAATTTTTATTATTAATATTCTCATTGAATATTTCTCCAGGTGCTTCAGCTTCGATTTTAACGACTTTACTGAGTGTGTCTTCAGCATCTTCAATTTTGAGTTGCGTTTTCAAACCATAGACTTGTTCTTCCAGCAATAGCTTATCACCTATCAGTTCATGCAAACTTTTGTTTTTGCCACGCAAGAACTCTACTTCTTTTTCAATATCAGGAAAGCTTGATAGGCGCGCATGGTTATTCTTCGTTATATCTTTCCAATCCTCATATGAAGCGATTTGACTTTCCAAATCTTTTATTTTTGTATTAGCAAAATCAAGTTCATTTAAATCTTTCTCATTTTGCAATTTCAAATTATCAAATAAACTTGCTTTTTCTTTATATATTTCAAGTTCTTTTCTCATAGCAGACATTTCATTACTAAGTAATTGTAATTCCATTGTGAGTTTGTCTGTATAAAGTCGATATTCTTTTAATTCGTTAGTCATGTCATTTTTCATTTGACGTACTTTTGTTTCTATTTCATCTTTTGCATTTTTAAGCTTTTGTATTGTATCTTCTGAATTATGCTTAAGATCATTCAACTCACGTTGCATTCTTACCAATTCTTGTTGAGCTGCTTGTTCACGTTTACGTACCGCCTGAAGATGTGTTTCTGCATCCTGTATCTTACCTGTGGAAAATTTGTGTTGTTTGTCGATTTCTTTCTTCAGAGTAGCTATTATTTCTTCTTGGAGTTTACTTTTGAATTTGCCAAAATCAACTTCTTGTTCTAATTCTGACACCTTTAAATCTATAAGCTCTCCTTTAAGACGTCTAGTCTCCCAAGGACGTGATGTCGACTGCTCAGCCTCAGTTAGCTTTTTTACTTTTTTTAGTCGTTTTACTTCAGCTTCACGATGCCAATTATCAATATCATCTTTCTCTTTAACTAGCTCTTCAGAACGTACTTTATGTTCAATTCGCAACATATAATAATAATTTTGCATTATATATATTTGCCTTTGCCAGCTTTTTCTCTCTATTATTAGCTCCTGTTTTTCTTCCAACTGCAGTCCTTGTATAAACATTTCTTTTATTTTGAGAATTGTTAATATAAATTTAGACATTATCTTGTCCTTTTCTGCTTCCTGGAACGTTTTACTATCTTGCACCATCTTGCTGCTTTTTTATGCTCTACTGCTGCTACGATGCCTTTTGTTATTATTATTACGTCAATGTTTAGCCCTGACAATGCTTTTGTTTTCCTATAGTCTCTTACCACTGGTAGAGGAAAATTATAGATTTAAGTTTTATTTAACTTCTCCTTTGATTATAGCATTTTTGCTATATCCGGCTCGAAGGACCAAATGTACTTTTATTTCAATATTGAAGTACACTGATACAGCACTTTTGCTATATCCGGCTCGAAGGACCAAATGTACTTTTATTTTAATGAAGTACACAGTTTGAGTATATTTTAGCTACTGATTTTATTTCAAATAATGTTGT